GATTGTGGTTGAGTCACCCGATCGTGCTGTTGGCACCGCTCCTCGTCGGTAGGCTGTTGTTGCGGTGAGTGGGTGACTACTGCTGTGTTCTCGCGGATTGCTGCTGTGGGTGGACTGATGTTGGGCACCATGGCACAGAGGCTGGATGGGCTACTGTGCCTTCTGGAGGGTTGCGGAGCGATGGTTGTGCGGACTACTAACTGATACCCTCTCACTGCACAGTCGGTGTATTTCGGATCRTAGATTGTGGACTATTGGTGAGTTCTGTGGCCAAGAGACTGTGGTAGCAGGCCACTGAGTTACCTTGAAAGGCTGCTGGATCATCTGCTGGTGCGGTGGCCGCCGTGCGTCTAAGATGCTGATTGCTGATGATTGCCCAAGGTTGTTGCGGATTACTACGAACTGCAACATACTACACGTGCCACGGTGGCATCGCCATCTAGGCACAGGCAAGAGCTACGATTATTGACGGTGGGAAACTGCTGCGGTATACCAGGCTCGAGTTGCGGGTCCCTGGATGTGGATTGCTTAAACCTTTGCTACAAGCTAGGGGACACTGCCGCTACTGCGGACTGAGCACGAGTTACCGTTGCCTGTTGCACATGGACGTGGACTAACACTGCAGGCAGTCGACTGCTGATTGACCGTTGCTGGCTGTTGCGGCACGCTGCGGCGTACTGTTGCGAACTAGGACCGCTGCTGCTGACAGCTGTTGCGGTTGCTGGTAATCGCCATCTGAGGCTGCGCATATGGACTGTTGCAGGCTTGTGTGCGGCCGTGGTCAGGTTAGGGAGGGGTGTTAAGACTCAAACGAGGGATTGAGCTTAGGAAGGGGGAATGGTGCTGCGGTTGACGGAGGGCAGTCAGGGGGCTGTTGAGACTACATCCGACCAAGGGTTGACTGTTTGCTGCTGCGATTTTCTTGGCCACCATTGCGAGGCCCTCAGGAGATTCCAGACTTCAAGGCCCTCTCATTGTGAGTTGAGTGCACCGCCCTTGGATCTCGAGAGTCTAGCTTTCCTACTTCTACCCTTCTTAATCTCAGTCTAGTCTATGTTACGAGAGGAAGGCGGCAGGCGGGATTGCAACCCGTAGGTCCGCGCCAAGGTCTCTGTGGGAGGTTGCCCCACCGATTGCGGGAGCTCTACCAGAACCCACGCGGGGTTCTGGAGACAGGGAACTTCAGGTATATCCTCGTCTGACGCGTGTGATCCCTGCCCCTATTTCTTATCCTTGGGTATCTGAGTATGTACATGTAAGGATACTACTTTTGTTTTGTTATGTATGCCAGGACATGTTTTGTAGGAGGCTAAACGAACAAGTACGTATGAGGGGTCAGATAATTCTTGAGTGAAGTCGAGCAAAATGAACTGGGGGAAGGTGGGATGAAGTTGTATTGCTTGCTTTGACCGGGTCAACCCAAGGCTGAGCTCCCCTAAGTTGGTGTGGGCTCAGTGTTGTGTTTTATTCATGTTTGTTGGGCTGCTTGTATGGGTTTGAGGGCTGAGCCTATCCTAAGTTGGACGGACCAGTCGCTGTTTTTTTATGGGGTTTCTGAACAGGAGGATGAACACCCTAAGTTGGGAGGTCTCAGAATCCTGGTGTTTCTTTTGTGGGTGGCTGAAAACAGAGCTGGGAACACTCCAGGTTGCGTGGACTCAGTTTTGTGTGTGTTTTTTTCGGAGGGGAACACAGGCATGAGGCTGAGCGTACCCTTAAGTTAGGGCGGCTCAATCATAAGCCATGAACATTAAGGTTAATCAAAGTATAGAATTTGGATATATATACTATATGAACTCATACTCTGGCAGACCGGGCACCCTAAGTTGGGAAAGCCAGTCAGTAAGTCAGGTAGAACAAGAAGAGGAGAAAAGTGATGAAAAATATAACGAAGGTAACCTGGGCAGGCTGAGCGTACCCTTAAGTTAGGGCGGCTCGGTCCTATGCTCGTAATAAGACAAAGGATCAGCGAGTTAGTATAAATTTGTTTTATTTTCCCTTCTGAACACAAAGCAGGGTTGGATGTCTCCCTAAGTTGAGTAGGTCTGATCCTCTGCCTAATAAGAGAGAAACACGTATAGTCTGTGCATGTATCAATGGTTGTTTTTATATGATTGTCATTACAGAGGCTAAGCGTACCCTTAAGTTAGGGCGGCTTAGTCACACGTCGTTGTACTTGTTCAGACAGTTCCTGTCTTATGTAACTATAATTGTCTAGGCCAGCTAGGCATACCCTTAAGTTAGGGCGGTCTGGTGATAGGCTCTTGTCGTTGATGTGATGTAGGTTGGACGTACCCTTAAGTTAGGGTGGTCTGACCATTCGTCGTTCGTACTTGTCTGTAGGTTAGACGTACCCTTAAGTTAGGGCRGTCTGACCATTCGTCGTTCGTGCTTGTTCTAGGCAGGTTAGGCACACCCCTAAGTTSGGGCAGCCTRATCYTGTGCCCTATGTGACTTTGTGTAAAGTTGGCYAGAYATACCCWTAAGTTAGGGCAGTCTAGTCTTATGCCTCATGTCGTCAGTTCAAACAGAAGCCAGGCGTACCCTTAAGTTAGGGCGGTCTGGTCATATGTTTTATGACTAGAGTCTATSTGGAGTTGGGCAYACCCTTAAGTTAGGRCAGTCCAGTTGTGCGTACTCCTACTTGTTTACYTAGGCAGGTTGGACATACCCTTAAGTTAGGGCMTTGTCTGATCCTATGCCATAAGTGAGGGKGCCTACAAAGGGAAGAAYCGAAAGACCTAATGAACTACTTGRACRAATTGATGTGGGACTGTGAGAGATGCATGTGTATGTATGCTCGTGGGCTCTCACTTGGGGTGTCTTTTCGATAGGCTAGTTGCTTTAGATGCTCGCCAAGTGYTGGAGCCATAGGTAGRTYAGATGRATGTTGGGAGGGAAAACTTGGGATGAGGATAGGACTGAYCCTGCWAGGAGTTRGGCCCAATGCTACCCCACGGTCTCATCTAGAGATCGTATTGGCYRTCATTTRAGTCTGAATCGTCAAGCAGATGTYAGACGTTAGTCCCAAGTATAGTTGCATTGTCTTTCTGCTTTTTCAGCTTCGTATAAATCTTGGCAGCCTCATGTTCCTACGGGAAGCGCTGCCGAAATTTTTACAAATCTGAAAAAGTTAATCATTTTTTGGACTCTTAGAAATTCTGAAAAGACAYTTTTCCTACAGGAAGCGTTGCCGGAATTTCGTGAAATTTGGGGAGTTATAATATTTTTCAGTTAGGAGTTACTTAGCGGATCCTAACTAATTAGAGGAGGTGTTCAACTAATTGGTATTAGTAGAGGAGCTAGAGTACGACTAAGGGGAATGATCTCCCCTTGGCACAGACGTAAGTAGTACTCTTCGTTGGCCTGTACTGTGATGCAAGTTGTTGTGCTATCACTTGAGAGCTTGATCTGATCAGGCTATTCCTTCAGAGAGATTATTCCTCTGTTATCACTGATAACAGGTCGGTTGCCGATTCGTCGGTCTACGACTCAACCCCAATTCACCCTCAATACTCAGCCTAAAGAGGCTTTAGCCCTGGTGATTTTATCTGTTTTGTTAAGGTTTCACCCATACTTTTATTGAATGGTCATTTAACAGAAGTACTGAGTACTTAATTATGGTTGTTTGGCTGGAGGTTGGGGCTTGCATGGCTAAAGCACAGGGTATGAGTGGGGAGGTTGGTTGGAGTTGACCCCGTGTAGTGCGTGGATCTTTGTTTGATACTGTGATGTGATTGCAGGTATGTATGGAAGAGTCTCGATTGATGCATGCTGAGTGGTATTGCGTGGATTCAGATGGGCAAACCACACAACTGTCGTGAGAGTGAACTACCCCACAACCTTTGTGTTTGAGTAAGATCCTTGTTCTGCTGAGGTGATGAGCTAGGTCGGCGTGCGTTCGGGTAACCCCTACAGGGCTAATCGCGACGACGTCCTCTCTGATAATATTGAGAGTATTTGTATCCTTTCCTTGTTAGGGTTTATTTCGGTGGAACGATAAAGTTCCGGGCGGAAGGGTTAGCGTGTCGCTGGTGATGCGCCAGACAACTCACCACCGCTCTAAATTCCTTCCTGACCTAGGGGCCGTCTTAGGGCAACCCTCGAAGTTATCAAGGGCCCCGAGGCTACGAGTACACCAGAGTACCCCATCAACGCGAATGCTTGCGAATGCCCGCATGGCTGGTTGTCATGAGGAGGCAATGCGCTCGCTCGACTCTTATACGGAAACCCAGCGCGCGACGCCTATCTTGTCATGTTGCGTAAAAGTATGGGTCGGATACTGAAGGGACTAGGAGTTGTGGTGTTGTGGCGTTGTTTGTGGTGGTCGTTCTGTGTGTGTTTCTATATGTTATGAGTGGGTAAGTATGAGTATCGTGGTGTAGCGCATGGTGAGAGTAGTGCGTCCTAATCGACCGACGTCGAGTCGCGTTTGGGATTTCAGCCCCCTTGTACGGCGATACGCGTACGGGTTCGATCTTAAGGCGTTTGACCGCGCGTAACCCTCTATGCTACAGCGAACGAGAAACGCCCTCGGCTGGGCCACCTCTGCAATTGCATACGAAAAGCTTTCGCATGTGGTTCAGTGGCTCGGCAGGGATACGCCCACCTAAGAGATGGTGACAGCTCCCGCAGGTGGAGGTAGCGGTGCCTCGCGTGACTCTGTCCTGTCGTAGGGACTCGTGAGAGGTACGCTGGCGCACTCGGCCAGAGCAGCAAACGCTCTCCGTGACAAGTCCTGCATAATCCTGCGTGACGCGGCCGGGAGGGTCCCCATGTGGGACCGATGCGCTCGACAGATGGCGCTGTTGCCGGGGATCTTGGCTGCCTACCGGGGTCCTTGAGAGAACGAACCCAGGTTAAGTGCAGGCTGATGATCTAAGCAAAACGACAAAAAGTTATAGGAGGGTTGTATATGACGTCATAATAAGACTGAGTGATATGGTAGCGAAACTTAAGGGTGGGGCGGGTAGCGAAACTTAAGAGTGGAATGGTCAAGAAGGACGTAGGGCAGACCCTCTAAACTTGACGAACTGCTTACCGATTTATCCCTTGTTACTCCTTTCAGGTTGGTTAGCAAAAAGAGGTGAAGATGTCGGATGCTGATGAAATCGAGCGTGGCCCGGCCGCTACGCCAGAGGATTTCGTCAAGACACTCGAGAAAAGGGAGTTGGCACGACTTCAAGTGCCGAAAGTTAACATCTTCCATTTTAATGGGGACAGAGTATCCGAGTGGATGGAGCTGCTGGAGCAGGTTACGGCCGAGGTGCCTGAGGCAGATAAATTCAAGTTCCTACCCAGGTACGTCTGGTGGGAAACTCGACCCGAAGTAATGAAGGTGGTTGCTGGAGCAGGAGGAGACTGGGCTAAGTTCAAGGCAGAAATGCAGAGGCGGTTCAAGTTAGGGGATGGCTTGTTAACGAAGACAGATTTGGAGATGTTACAACGGGACGAGTTCTCCACGGTGGGAGCTTTCGCAACGGCATTTGAAAAGATGGCCAAGAAAGTCCCCGGATTGGCGGAAGAAGAACAATGTGCCACTTTCCTGGGGCACTTCAAGAATTGGGAGGCCTCGTCGCTAACCAAGAAGGCTGCGCCAGGAAAGAAGCTCACTTGGGCCGCCATAAAGGAGGGCGTAATAGAAGGAGAGCTGGACCAAGTAGACATCTTCCAAATGCGACAGGCTAGGAAGAAAAGAAAGGCCTTGGACACCACGACGAGCGGCGGGCGAGACTTTAAGAAACTGATAGAAGATGCAGTGGCCCAGCTCGGTGCAGAGAAGGAGGCAAAAAGAAAAACTATGGCGCCACCACAGACCCAATGTAAAGCAAAAAAAACGGTGGTGCAGGAGGAAGAAGAAGAGGCAGAGCAAGAGGAGCCGGAGCCACAAAAGTTGACAAAGGCTCAAAGGAGAGCAAGAAATCTGGCTCAAGGGGGGCAAGGCTCAGGGAAGGGCCAGGTCCCACAAGCGGTAGCCATGCCGCCCCCTGAGTCACCTAGTCAGGCTGCACCAGCACGCTCTGGGCCATGGCCAGGTTGCGGACCCTCAAGTCATTGGCATGGGCACTATTCATACGCCCCATGGCCAATGAGTGGGCCGCATGGGTCATGTGCCGGACCACCGATAAGCACAGCTTCCTGCGGCTGCCCGGGACCCCAAGCTCAGCAGGTGAGCCTCCCAAACCCACCGCCTAACCAACCTCAGCAGTCAGCCCCACAAGGATCGCAAGCCAACCGAGGTGGTGGACGTGGTCAGAATCAAGGATGGGGTCGAGGGCGAGGGAATGGTGGCCGAGGAGGAAACGTCAAGGGTAATGGTGGTGGTAACGCTGCGGGCCGGGGAAACGAGGGTTGGACGACATCCAGGAGTCAAGGCGGTCAAGAGGGTGGAGGAGGTGCTGGCAGAGGGAGAGTAGACTGGAGAAATGCCATTTGCTGGCATTGTGGGCAGAAAGGCCACACTATTAAGTTCTGCCACGTCAGGAGGAACGACGAGGACGAAGGTTTAATTAGCACCAACTATGATGGAGACATGTACGACAAGTGGGGGTACCACCTTGACCCGAAGATTCTAGGCGGTACGAGAAAGGAAGCCCTGCGGAAGGCTGAGGCCGGTGAGCCACCCGCACCCCCAGCCATGTTTCGAATATGGCAGGAGAAAGAGGTTTGTAGTGACGTCAGGGTGGAGGAGGTAGGAGACAACGCAGAGGTGGAGCAAGAAAGAAAGGCCGGCACTACTAAGGCAGAACCGATCATAGTAGAGTCCGACGATGAGATTGAGGAAGATTGCTGGAACAAGCCGCTGCGTGCTGAGACAGGGGAAGATTGTTGGAGGACGGCCCGACAGACGATGGAAAGAATGGAAGACTTAATAGCTAAAGTCGGGAGGTACCAACAGAAGCTGGCCGATATGCGTGATGAGGTCAGGGAATGGAAAGGTAAGGAGCCATTGGTATATCTCTACGATCTTGGTCCAGGGTTGCAGGGAGGATCTGGCAACATACCAAATGTCACGACTTCGGTCCCGACGCCAAGGTCCGGGATGACTTATAGGTCACCCTCCAGGACGGGGAGGGCGCCACATGCGGTCAGGACGAGGGCTAAAGGGCCGGTGAGTCCCGGAGAATTGGCCAAGGATGTTCCTGAACCAAGTGGAGAGAAAGAGGTAGTGGACGTTCCAGAAGAAGAGGATGACGAAGATGATAGGTTAAGGAAGGAAGAGGATGAGAAGGCTGAACAGCGAGCCAAAAAGAGAGGTGCCAAGTCGGACACAGACAAGGCACAGGAAGTAAAGAAGAAAAGGTATGCGGTCCGCGTAGAGGAAGGGTTCGACGTAGAAGAGATAATGGACAGGATTCTCGAAGGTTTTCACGGCCAGATCATCAATGTAGGGCTGCGTGATGTGAGGACTTATGGGCTGCATCGCCCTCACCATGTGCCGCTGAACCATAGCGACCGCATTCGTCCACCCCTGCGGTGCGACGTTCATGTGGATTAGCCCTCGAGGGGTATGCATGGTTGTCATAGGCCGGTCCAACGGGTATACAGGGAACTGATCGTAGCCTGAATACAAGTCAATGAGGGATATGATGACCCTCCCAGCGCATGCCTCCGAAAGCGCATCAGCGTTGGGGAGACCACCTGCGTCCCTCACCGTCACAGCATTCAGGCGCTGTAAATCCTGTACCCACCTCAGTGTCCCATTGGGTTTGACAAAACAAAACCATGGGGACGCATACGGTCCGCTCGAGTAATCTACCACATGAGTGCGGATCTTCCCATCAAGGTAGTTGACCACCTTCTCTTCGTCAGCGGGGTAAGGATACCGCGCACCTCGCAAGTTCCATGGTTCATGGGGTACGGTATGTATCCTAATCATTGGGATAATATCCACGTCCAGTCGGCCTCTCTCATCATCACTGAAGGCATATGCAGCTTGCCTTCCTCTTATGGTGTCCACTACAAGTTTCTCCTCCTGGCTCCCCTATGATCAGCGCCTTCTCTGTCTCGGCATTGATACGGTTGATCCACTTTCTGCCCTTTCTCGCACCTGCTGTATCAACTCTCGCTCCCGCTCGTAGTATACTTCCTGTTCTTCAGTAACGAGTACAGGAACGGGGCGACACTTTTGGTCTACCCTTTTGTACCGCCTTTGGGCGCCCTGCTTGAGCCCACCCCTAAAAAAGGCCGAGTTGCACTTTGGGGTTGTGCTCCACTCTCTCCACCTGTCTGACCAGATGTTCGATATACCAATTCCATCTCTCCTGCACCCATTTGCTCCACTATCTTCTCTCTCAAGGCCTCCACAGCCTCGGGGTCCGCCATCCTATAGGTCGATACTATATCCATAGCATCGCCTATGTTTGCCAAACTTAGGGTCAGCGTCTCCGACTCTCTTACCTCCTCATACTTGCTGGCTTCAATCCTTAGCCTTTCTTCTTCTGACTCTTCAATTGTGAATGAACCGGGGTTGGGCCGGTTCCCTACGCTCTTGGGTCCTGTGTTCTTGCAAGTGATGACCTCGTAATTCCCACACACGGGGTCACACAGAGCGAGGAACATAGTCCCATCATGTTTGTTGAGAATGACCATCTCTGTCCGACTTAGGAACGACGTACCCAGTAGGATAGGGTGGTCCAAATCAGGCATCACGAAGAAACAACTTCTTACGTTTACCTTCCCAATCTCTAGAATCACACACGATGCGGTCCCTATGAAGATCGACCGACTGTTTGCTCCCATCAGAACCCCATTGTCGGAGCGATCTACCTTCATCCCTAGACGCACTGCATCTGCCTCCTTTATGAGGTTCATTTCTGCGCCGCTATCCACCATTGTTGTGCACGTCTTCCCTTTTACCACCACATAGAGGCACCCACAGGCTATTGACTTCCTGGAGGAGCATAACCTCACTGCCAGTGGGCCAAAATCGAGGCACTGCATGAGTTGTGCCACTATCTTAGGATTTGTGTGCGACGAGAGGGGTCGTCGGCCAGATACTTAGAAGACTAACAAGATTCTCGAATGGCCAACACCGTTCCAGACTATCATGGAGGTGAGAAGTTTTCTGGGCATGTGTGGGTTTTGGAGGATCTTTATTAAGGGGTTTGCGACAAAGACGGAGCAATTACAAAAGCTCGTGCGTCAAGGACAAGACTGGGAATGGGGAGACAGACAAGAGTCAGTGAGAAAAGACCTGAAGAAGGAGTTTGAGGAAGGAGGTCTAGTAATGGAGGTACCGGACCATGCGGCGGTGATGACCAGGCCGTTCATCGTAGAGACAGACGCACGGCCAACTGCGCTGGGAGGTGTGTTAATCCAGCGAGATCCCAATGGGGAGGAACGACCACTAAGGTTTGAAAGTCGGACGCTCAATACGTCTGAAAGGAACTACTCTCAGTTCAAGCGCGAAACCTTGGCGGTTTTTCACTGTTTGAGGATCTTCAGAAACTACCTCTTTGGCAATAGGTTCGTATTGAGGGTGGACGCTACGGCTCTGGCTGGTTCTCTCAAGAACTCCGCTCCGTCAGATCCAACTATCGCTAGATGGCTGACGTACATCTGGATGTTTGACTCGAGTTGGAGCGAATTCCTGGGACTAAGAATAGGGCAGACGGGCTGAGCCGAGTCGACTGGGACAAGAACCGTCAAGGAGTGATCGAGGATACTCCACCGGTTGACGGGTTCCTGGACAGTGAGGAGGATGTAAGACTTCACATCCACTCCTGGGCACTGGCCGTGGGTAAGTATGCTACTCCTGGGCGGCCCCTATGGCTTGCGCCTCCAGGACATGTGCGACGACCAGACTTGGTCCTCAAACCTTATATTGAAGAGGATTTTTGGGGAATGTCGGGCGTAGGTTGGATGATGGAGCTGGCCTTAGCTGGCAAGTACGAGCTGCGGGAAGACCCGCTTACAATTGAAAATGGGGCGCTACAGGTGGGTAAGCACGAGAAGATGATAGGTGGGGTGTACCTGCTGGCAAATGCACTGCTTCAAGAAGAGACGGTCAGAAATACGGTACTAGACCAGGAAGAGGAGGTAGAGCCGGGAGGAGGTGATAATGTGATCCACGAAAGGGAGGACGACGACTTTGAGAAAGGTGAGATTAAAGAAGCCTTTTGAGCAGAAGAATATGATGGGGTATACCTTGAACTCGGCATGCTTCTTTCATGCGAGATGAGGGAAAGGGATGCCTGCGCGTGAGTTCTGAAGATGAGGCCTAGTTTCCTGGTGAGGGATGACCATCTGTTCATGAGGAGCAAAGGAAGGGATCCTAGGAGAGTAGTCTGTGGCGTTGCTCGCCAGATCGACATTATGGCGGCACTACACGACGGTATGGCAGGTGGCCACAGAGGTGCGGATACGACATACCTGAAGATCCACGAGTTGTACTATTGGGATGGCATGGGGTAGATGATTGATGAGTATTGTAAGTCTTGTGTACCATGTCAGGAGCGATCCTCTCTTAGACCTAGAGAGCCGCTTCACCCAAGGTATGTTCGTGAAGTTGGAGCGGTCGTGCATTTGGACCTGTTGGCAATGCCATTGGGAATAGGGGGTTATAACTTCATCTTTGACGCACGGGACAACCTCTCTGGGTTTGTGGATGGCAGGGTCATTCGCACGAAGACTGGCGAGACGCTAGCCCGATGCATTGAGGAGTATTATCTTCGTACCCCTTTGTTTCCAGGTTTGTGATGGATAGGGGGTCCGAATTCACCTGTGGAGAAGTGAAGGCGAAGTATGGGGTAATCGTTGAGTACAGTACTGCAGCGCACCCTCAGGCCAACGCACCTGTGGAGAGGGGACATAGCACCATCACAAATCTTCTTGCCAAGTGGACCGATGGCAGGCCCAACCAATGACCAAACTTTCTAAGGGTCGTGTTTTTCGTGGATAACATCACTATCAGGAGGAACACTGGCTATGCACCGGCTACGCTATGGTACGACAGGCATGCGGCGTTTCCTATCGAAAGCTTCCTGAAAACCTGGAGGCGACAGGACCTCGAGACTGATCTGACCTTTGAGGAACTGCTGGATTTGAGGGCACGACAGATCGGCGCTATTGAGGACAGGATTGAGGAGGCAGCAAGTAGGACCGCGGACAGCCGTACCAAGGACAAGTTCAGGTGGGATAAGATGGCAAGAGTGAGAAAGGAGCCTCTCAAGGTGGGAGATGTTGTACTGTTGTATGACTCGTCCCTAGAGAAGCAGTGGTCTCGGAAATTGGACAAGAGGTGGCTGGGACCGTATAGAGTCACCAGGTGCGGAGAGCACGGGGCGTATCAAATTGAAGAGTTAAATGGGACGGCATGGAAGGATTGGGTGTCAGGCTCGAGGCTGAAGAAGTTTGTGGCTCGAGACGAGGTGAGCAGGGATCTCACCACTTAGAGTTATCTCGTGATTACTTCGGATACTGCTCTCAGTAGGATAGTATGATAGGTTATGACTAAACTTGTGTGTGTGTGTAGGGATATGTATGCATATGTGTGGGTAGGTAGGGAGTTGAGATAGTTGTGGGAGGGTTATGTCTGTCTCCTGTTGTGTTTTATCTGACATCGCTTACCCTCTGTGTGCTTCTGTTCGCCTCTTCCCTGTTGCGCAGGCTTGATACCGCTTGGGGCAGCTATGCCAAGAGGGAGGGGAGGAGCAGAGCCAGTGGGGACCCCTTTGAGGGCAACCAGACAGAGGACGCGGATGAGGACCAGGAGAGAGGACAGGCCTCCAGTCTTCCGGGGAGGGAACATCGAGTTGTTCCTGATGGAGTTTGAGCGGCATGCGAGAGAGTTTGGATGGGACAGTACCAAAATGTTGAGAGAGGTACGAGGTGTAGGCGAGTGGGCGGACCCTATTGCTAAGATGGTCAGAGAATCGCTGAGTTGGCAAGACTTTGGACGGAGGATGGAGGTTTTGCATCCGTCACCATTGGGAAGGGATGGACAACCCATTCGGTTCGACTCCACCAACTTGGGGGAGTTCTTGTGGGCCTATGACCGATATGCAGACGAGCTTGGTATCCTAGGAGAGCAGAGCGTGGGGAGTTTCCTCTTGTTTGTGAGACACCATATCAGACCCTTCGTACGATCCATTGTGGCATTTCCCATGAACTGGGGGCACTGCAAGAAGCTGCTATGGAACTATTATACTCCAGCTCGTCAGGCAGGTGAGAGGAGAGGTGTGGAAAAAAGAAAAAGGGAACCTGGGACAGAGGCAAGGGGAACCTTTGAGCAGGGCGCGTCACCAGGGGCTCAGAGGGAGGAAAAGGTGAGGGAAAACAAGTCTCACAAGCAAGAGGAGACTGAGGAAGTAGGGGGTCCAGGCGCACCTCCACATCCTACTCAGAGGAAGGTGGATCCCCTAAGCCAGATATGGAGTCGGACGTGCCTCAAGGGCCGCAAGTGCAGGAACAGAGAGTGGAACCGTCTGCTGATGAAAAGGAGCTGGACAGAAAAGAGAGGGCAGCAAGGGACCTGGAGATCAGGACTCAGCTCTGAATGAAGAACCTTGCAGAGTTGCATGAGAAGATGCAGCAAGGAAAGGCGCCTGAGGAGGTAGAGGACAAAAAAGGAAAGGGTACCTGCACTCAGGAGGAGGACCCTCCTCCGTTCTCAGAGGTCTGGATGGGGTTCGACAAGCTATTGGACGCCGCAGGGAGGTCAGGAGGTCAACATCAGGAGATGGGGGTTAAGTTGGTCTCTACAAACCTGCTCAACCTTAGGAGCGTGGTGAGAGAAGGCTTCGCCGCAACAAGGACCTCAGATCAGAAGATTGGGGACAGGCTGACAAAGGTGGCACAAGAGGCTTATGGCCAGAGGGTGGACTGAGAGAGAAAGGCTGGGGACCTGAAGAGAGAACTGGACAGACAGGGCAAAGAGTTGACAGCAGTAAAGGCAGACATGGAGAGTGTCTCAGCAGAGAATGAGGCCGTCAGACAAGTCAATCAGACCCTTAACAAGGTCACTGACGCTCTGAGGGCCTATTTGTGTGCACAACTGACCTTCTTCCAGGTTAAGGAGACTGAGTGGGAGAAAAGAATTCGAGACCTCGAAGCCAAGTATACCCAGCAAGCTCCCACAAGAGTGGTGGATTGGGCAGAGGTCCAGAAGTTTGAGATCAGGGAACAGCCTGCAGAGGAAGTCTTGAAGAGGGAGAAGGAAGTAGAAATGGCGGACCAGCAGGAGGATGAGAAGATCCCTTTGATCGACAAGGAGATGTTGGAGCAGCCAGGAGTGGTTGTGGGAAAGGGTGCAGAGGTCGGAGAGTTTGAGTGGAGGTTACCTGTTGGCCTGACACTGGGACACGAGCCGGCAGTACCACAGGAGGGACTACCAGTTGAGGCAATGAGAGTTGGGGAGGTTCCACCTACTATTCGGAAAGAGACTGCGGGACAGCAGGAGGGTCAGGAAAGTGTGGGCCAGACCATGGTTGGGACGGAGCAGAGAGTGGACCTGAGGGACTGTCAGAAGTCAACCATGCTTCAGGAGGTGCCAGTTGCTACAGATTTGCGGGATGTAGTGGGATATTGGGCCACTGGGTCAGGGTCAGAGGGGCGTGTTGGGGAGCCGGGGATGCCAGCAGATGACAGAGCAGCCTGCCCCGCTTCCTCAGGGGTCCCACAACAGGAGGTTACGAGCAAGATCTCAACAACCCCGTCATCTGTACCCTCGCTGGAAGGAGAGAAGATGACTCAGAAGAAGCTTGGCAAGTGCTTCTATTGCAAGAGGGGCAAACATCGATCTGATGACTGCCCCAAGAGCCTCAAGGACGAGGCAAATGAATTGTGTACCAGGGAGTCATCTGGGGTATGGAGAGATAGAAATAGAAACCTAGTCCCTAAGACTCATGATGGGGTAAGGGCGCAGTTGTATAGGCAGCTGCAGGGGGACATGAGTGATCAGGAATAGGAATTTCTAATAAGGTCCGGAAAGGTCTAAAGTCTAACATATGCGGGATTTCTCTGACTCTCAGACTGATGGCTACTTGTATATAGAGAGATACGTGGAGGATTGGATCAGACCCATGTACATCAGTATACTGAGCCAGTAGTGAGATGTTACGCCGTGTTATAGACTTAAGAACCTTTTTCTGTACATAAGATAACGTTGAGTATGACGTTGACGATTTCTCCTTTTTTTTTAATGTGATGTAGAGTGTTAACGTCCTTATAGAATAACGCTCATGAGTGTGGAGCGACCGTCGAGTTCCGATACTTCGACGCTTGACTACCTTGATTCCTTATGGGATACCTGAACTCCTGGTATAATATTTTAAGTTCTATAAAGGACAGGAGTCTTTGCATAGTGCGGGGCCCCATGTCCTGAGTGTATACGTGAGTCTCAACCTTTGTCCCTGTGTTGTGTGTAGTGTGTCACACTCACTCTCGGTTTGTGGACTTGCCCATATGGATTATGGTGTGATGAGATGAGTATTGTGGAATGAACTGATCTGCGTTTCTTCCACTGTACTTACGCCTCCCTGTCCCCATGACAAGTGAAGCCGGAAGTATAATGGAAGGAAGTGTTCTCAGATTATGGAGACAATGATGACATGATGTATTTTTCCCAGATAATGATGAATGGAAAGGTCACAACTACAAGTTGTGTGTTTTTGTGTATGATTGGAAAAGAGAGAGGGAAGTCCAATGACCGATTGGACTTTCTTAAGATGATGAAATTTTGGGAGAGCACTCAAAAGAATCGCTATAAGTGATGATAATGTTTGTATGTATGTAAAAGTCTGACGAGGAAAAACCAGATATTTTGAGAAAATCATAGTTGAAAATTTCTGGCAATTATGTTGGAACTTGGAGAATATTGTGAGTATCCCTAAAAAGACGCATGACCTCACCTGCTTTTGATCAGAGTAAGGGAGACACGACCCTGTTAAATTATCGAGGATTTTTTGATGGAATATTGAGAAGGGCACTATCCCTCCACGTAGTCCCGTGGACAGCGGTATGTGATCCTTTGATTGTTGTTGTGAAAGAAAGTGCCAGGCCACATGGGTTAGTCTAAGAGACGTATTGTGAGGCTGAGCTAAGGAGCTAGACTTAGCATCGCTGGAACTGTAGAACCTAACTCCCAGCGAGGGCCGCTGACCGACGCAACCTGGCAGCGGGACCATGGCTTACCAAAGGTTAAGTCCTGAAGGGTCGGCCACCCTGAGGGGTTTAGCTGGAAGGAAGGTCTTTGGGGTCGATTAAGTCAAGATTCAGGACCCTTCTGGGTGCCAAGATAGGAAGAGTTGCTTATCGTTGTGTAACCAACGAGGGCACCATCGCTACATAACAACGCGGTGGGCCGTGGATTCGGCGTGATCGACCGGTCCATGGTGGGCCAAGATGGAGACCTGAAGCCGCCTGTGTTAGACTCCAGGCTGAACGTTCGTGTGAGTTGAGATGGTAGATACTACCATGTGGGCGGCTGAAAGCGCCCCGTGTTTTAAGAGCTCTCGGTACGGGCCCGCGTCCTAAGTTATGACCCCGTTCGCGGGACGATGACTAAATAGGACACCCAACGGTGAACTGGCAGAGGTCTACGACGAAGAGAGAGGATTATCAACCTACTACCTAGTACGCTGTAGTACGGAACAAAGTATCCCCTAGCTCCGAGGCCAAGACATTGGAGACCCAGGTTGAAACCCTGGTAGTGGAACGTCGTAACGAGAGCAGGTTGATGAGACAACCTCAAACGGAGTCGAACCGGTGAACCGGATTGGTCACCTCCTTGTTAGCAACATGTGTTCGTGGTTATAGCTTGATTGACCGACGCGACGGGGAAGTCGCTTAATAAGGTCCGGAAAACTGTCGGCCCGAATACCCTTACAAGGGTATTTGGGCACGTTTGTTGCAACTCGCAGGAAGTACGCGCCTGACGATATCTAAGGGCGCGTTCCATTTGTATTGATTAGAGAGTGTGTGGGCGTGCACTTCGTGGGCACGCGTTAGCCTGACCAAGTTTGGGTCGAGGAGGACCATGAGACGCCGATAGGACAGGTCAGAGCTAAGCTAGATTTTTTGAGGCGGTCGCGGACTCACACGCGCGGTCGGAATGTCGGACGGCATAAAGATTGACCAGATAAGGCGGTGCCGGAGAGGAAAGCGTTGTTTGACTCATGGGGGACCGGCGGTCCTGGGTCGCACCACGTGAAATGTCGCAGGCGCTAGGTTGATCAAGCGCCGCCGGCAGCAGAAGCCATGGCGGGCTCCGGCCATAGCCGCAGCGTGATGCGACAGCACGCGCAACAAGCCTAGCGAGGCCGTGCCCTCCAAAGTAAGGCTTGGGTGCCTGCGGGTCCTTTGACGCAAGCGGTAAGTAAGACGAACGGCCTGAGATACTATTTGCAGGCCTGGACAGGCTGCCCTTACTCTTTATGAGGAGGGCTGAGCCTATTGTTTCGAGGTTGGGGCTTAGCCCTATAGGTTATGTCATTGAGCTATCACCAGGCGGATCCCGGGATCGAGGCCAGAGCGGAGCAGCGGGAGCGGCGGAGGAGCACCATGGAGGAAGCTGAGGGGTTGAGGGTCCTGCGGGACTATCCCCCTTGGTTTTGCAGGAGRGAGTCCCGCTGCGGGCCCGTGAGGGTAGGACCAGGTACGAATGGTCCCCCTCCCCCGTCCGTTTTTTCTTGTTCAAATTTTTAGTTTTTATTTTTTCTCCTTTTTTAATTTTTTCGAGTTCAAATTTTTATTTTTTTATCTATCTCTTTTCGATTTGGGTGAAACCCGGCACCGGGGCCGGGATGTGCAGCGAGACCCGGCTGCCTAGTTCTATGGAGAAAGCACGGGCGACCAGGGCACTACTTTCGAGGCCGTGGCCGTTCGGGACATCTGTAAAAATTGGAACCACACGGGGAAGATTAGCATGGCCCCTGCACAAGGATGACACGCAAGGGCTGGGACCAGTCCCTTTCTCTGGCAGCTAGAGGTATGAGCAGCTGCAATAAGAAACGGCGCAGCCGGCAGATGAGCCTTTGCTGAGGCTGTAATCTGAGTTGCTCAGGGAGAGAGGGAGATGGTGAGGCACTGTAGTACAGCGCTGCTCGGTGAGGAGCTAAAGGAGAAGCAAGGGGCGGGGCGTGTGTGCCTGAGAGAGAGAGAGAGAGAGAGAGAGAGAGAGAGAGAGAGAGAGAGAGAAAGGGAGGGGAGAGAGAGAGGTACTCACCGTCAGCGAGGTTGCGAGAAGGGCTAGTGCATGGCCGGGAGGCTGTGTGCTACTACGAGGTAGGAGACGGTGCTACCGGAAGGAAGGGTACTCAGCAGCTGAGACAGTGGGGAAAAAAAAGGGGGGGATGAACTTGGACGCGGCGACGCACCAGGTGCGTTCGAGGAAGAAAGGAGAAGAATAGGACTAAAAGTGGTCTAGCTCGCTCGTTCCTAAACGGAATCGAGCGAACCAAGAGTCGAATCTGGGGGTTTTGGGCCGGGCGAAGCCAATGGTGAAGGTAGATTTAGTGTTGGGTGGACGGCCTAAGTAGTATCAACAATATGAGCTGCGCGGTGGCTATGGAGAGAAGGYGGGAGAGCAGCAAGGAGAGGGGAGCTCGGTGAAGGGTGGAGGGAAGAAGCGCGTGACAGCGAGGGAGATCATGATCACACTTACCTAGTTGCTCATGCTCACACACCCTGTCGTATGAATCAGGCCGGGGTTGTGGCCAAGGTGCCAACCAGCAGCAGGAAAAGAGAAGCAGAGAACAGGTTGTACCTGGACAGGGAACAACGTCGGGTGCAGACGAAGGTGGAGGGGAAGGTGGCGGAAAGCAGCCAGGCGGAGCACCGGCGCTAGGCAGGCCGGCCGAAGCAGTGGGCGCGGGCTACTAGACGAGATAGATGTACTCGGACGTCGTCTCACGCCAGATGCATTCATAGGCAAGAAAACCAGAGATGGCGGGGGCGGGGGTAGTAGAAACGGAGAGATACCCATCTCACTTGCTCCGTTGTGGAATCAAGCGAAAGAAGAGTGGTTACATGGGTTTTTGGTATGGGCGAAACCAAATCTGCAGACAGACACGAAGGAAAGTTAGTAGGAGGAGAGGAAAGAGGGAAGAACAGTGCGCTGAAGGTACSGGARACCAGATATGGTGGGGAAGAGAAACGCCTATCTCGTCCGTTTCTTGACGAAAACGGACGAGTGAAGGTGCGTTTCGGGGGTTTTCACACGTTGCGAGGGAGATGGCAGGGCTATTCTTCGTGTTGGGATCATGGTTTGGCCGGTGTGAATAGTGGAAGCAGCGCCGAGTGTAAATGAAAGTTAGAGCGGGATGAAATTCGTCAGTGTACCTTCCCATGTGTCCGCCGGGCAGCCCTTCCTCCTCATGATTATCAGTCTGATTCCGAGGCTGCCTGCGCTTGGCATAGAGGTGTTCTGCAGGCAACAGCATCACCGCCTGGGCCCGCTGCCCACGACCCTCTTGTAACCAGCACTGTATGTGCCTGTACGCTGGCGGTAGAGTCATTTGCAATTTGCATACTTGGCAATAGCAGAGCCGGGTGAAGGACTTCGTTGTATGAGGAGTTTGGGTGGGACGGCTCAACTGGTAAAAGGTAGCGTAGGTGTCCAAAGCTGATGAAAAAAAAAAAAAAAAAAAAAGGAGGGGGTGATCTCTTATCCGAGTCGAAAGAGCCGGTGCAATAGGCTAGTGTGAAAAGGTTGCACTACCTCACGAAATAGAGGAGCAGAGTTACCCGACTATTCTAGAAGTTGCATTCGATTGTTGTTATGAGTCCAGTCCTTTGACAGAGCATTGGATAAGGTGGTGAGCCGTCTGTCTGATCTAGGTGGACAGGCCCGGTTGGGCACTTGATCTTTGCCGCCCACAAGGCAGGGTTGCTGGCGGAGCTATTGCTGGGTACYGCATGTTGGCCATTGTCGTTATGGTGGGCCACGAATAGTACTRCTGACTAACATAGTACGGTATGCGAGTCGGAATAGTTATTGGTGCGGTATCAGGATTTTGTTGCTACCGCGCTACAGTGGTGTATTTTTGCTTCGCCTTTGAGCACGGTTGTTGTGCGGGTGGCATCCAGCTGAGCACGGGCGGCAAGGTGACCGAGCCTGGGCAGTTATTACGGTCTG